GGAATGCAGGCCTAGAACATCTTATTCACACATAATTGCAAAGATGAGCTTACCTGTTCATTAGGCTCAAAGCTTATCTCTTCTTTTTCCGTCCTCATAGCTATTAACTTTGTGCTACCGGAAGGGTCTGTCTTACTGTCCAACCGTTCCAGTTTTGGGGGTATGTCTGGTAAACCAGTATCTTTAGTATCATCTTTATCTAGCAAGTAGCGAAGTAGTGCATTATTATTCTTCTTAGGACTCGCTGGCTCCTGTTTAACAGTCACCTCTGAACCAGGAGCTGTGCTACTGGACTCCTGGTTCAGTTCTTTGCCTGTGGCCTCTGCTGTGAGCTTGGCCAAATCTACAGGAGAACTACTGTCCTGCAATAGTCTGTGCAAAATTTTATGCTTCTCCTTGAGCGAGGTTCCGTGTGCTGAACCAGACCCAGGCAACCCTCCCGTGGAGTCCTTGCTAATGTCTCCCATAGTACTGGACAAAGGTGAAGGCTCCATCTGATCCGATTTGGTGGTCAGCAATTGTAAGAGCTTTGTCTGGCTTTTTCCATCGTGCAGTTTATTCTGTCCATCAGGTCTTTCGCCACTGACAACTGGTGGCATGTTGCTATCGCTACTGTCTTTCTGTTCTCCTGAATGGCAGCTGCTCTCTGCTTGTCCAGTTGTACCTTCTGATTGCTCCCCATATATTCCAAAGCAGTCTTTAGAGTCCAGGCTTCCCATCTTGCTTAGCTGGGGAGGATTCATATTCACAGGGGAATTTTGTAAATTTCCCATTTTTAGGTCAGGTGAAGCCAACGACGATCCTAGAGAAACGCCGTGGCCCTCGCTGAGGGCCTGAAGTGCGTTCAGGGAACTGTTGGTGTAGTTATGGCTATTTCCTGTGCTGCTGCAGACTCCCACAGGTGAATGTAAGCTTCCTGCAGGGGAGAACTGACTGGGTGGGATGCGAGGACTTCCTGCCACTCCAGGGCTCACACGATGCCTTGGGGAAAGCATAGAGTTTGGCTGCCCTGGGTTCATGCCGGGGCTGCTTTGTGAGGGGCTATTCATTTTTAGTGCATAGTTACTACCCTGAGGAGTGGATGCTTGTATGCTTGACACATGGTTCATTCCCCCTGAACCACCAAACCTGCCTGCTGGCATGCCCATTTGTTCCTTTGGGCCATTTATGGCAAAATTTATATTGCTACTGATGGTCATATCCTGACCTGGGTTCCCACTGCACATGGCCTGATGGGCAGGGCTGCTGGAACTAATTGGGTTCAGTATCTTCCCCATTCCTTGTCCAGTCAAATCCTGATTCATTCCACAGACATTCTGCTCTCTATGTGGCAAGGGGAAGAAAAACAGCCCGTTAGCTAAAATGACAGTGGCCAACTTACAATTACATTACGGAAAAAGAAGCAAAACCCCAAACCTCGCTTTAAAATAACACAAAACCCCTACAATCAAAAACAAATCAACAACTTGACAAAAGTGATATGCAACTCTCAACATGGCTTCACATTAACAGTATGGTTTTTCAGTACCTCATTAACAAATCAGTGGAAGAGAGGAAAAACAAAATTATACCTTATTTAAATGACAGTCATTAGAAATGCAGATAGGTTACAATTTCAGACTCTCTCCCTTTAATGTATCTCTCCTCTACAATTTGGCAAGAGCTAACTACTAGAACTGACAGGAATCTCATCTGAAACACATGACCCAACAAATACATGTTTTACAAGACAGCTGTGGACAGCTGTTTGCTGGAGTTTTGAATTTCTGTGAGTTAGCCCCACCACAAGGCTGGAGTGGGCTATTTGCCCACCAAGTTCATAGTGAAAAGAAAGTTGAAAAAGTCGTATTTATACACTGCCAGAGTATTTCAATACTGCTCCAAAACAGTGTGTGAGCCAAGGGAACTACTGGATACTGCTTCGGAATGGGAACAGTCTGTTAGCAATCCAGTCCTGCACAGGCATTTAGGAAAAGGGGAGAAGAAAAAAACCCAAACCATGCACACAGGAGCTGAAACCCGTATTTTAGAGATGTGGACTGCTAGACAGAGGAAACAGAAGAGAGGGAGAGACACACAGAAAAAGCTCTTGTGAGAGCATCTGAAGGTCACTTCTCTTTTCCTCAGTAGATTTTAATTAGTTTATGGGAGGATGCAATATACATTTTACTTCTGTGCTAGAACTTAAATCAGAAATATCAGACATATTCCCAAATGCTAGAAGCTATAAAAGAGACAGTCAAGTAGATTAGGAAGAAAATAAAATGAGGTTCTTACAAAAATCAAATCAACTCTGGACTTCCAAAACCAAATACTAATGGAACATTCCCGATATGCATTTTCCATGAGATGAAAACCACTTCTACTCGCACAGGATAAGTGCATGCAGATAAACCTTTGTGTTTTGCTAAAGCATGAAAAGTGAAATAACCGAAGAACACATAGTAGTGAACCTTGTTATTCTGTATTTGTTACCTTGGGTATAAAGGCAAGGGTGAACAACATTAATTATAAAAAGAGAGGTGGATTTTTAAAACCATATTACAAATACAATAGTACCAGTGTTCTGCTAAAAATTAAAAGCAAGGATATATGCAAGGACCATTTTTTAAGTTAATGGTGCCTCTTTAATTTTAAAATTTAGCACTTCATGAAATACCAGGTACATTCAGCAATCCAAAGAAAACAAATTTCAGACAGTTTTTCATCAGGTCAATTTGCAAATCTACAATTTCTGTAAAATGGTTTCAATTATAATTATGCTTAGCACTGTTTTCTTCCTCTCAAAAAAAAAGAAAGATACTGAGGACACAAGGAAAATGGCATTGTAATTATAATCAGCCAATAAGACCTGAAACAAAATCTGACACAAATATACCAGGACATGTAGTGACTTCATAAAAACTGCTCACTGAAGTTCCAATGTCAGTGATTATTTATCCTTGACTTTAACATATTAGTGATTGTGCTTTTTGAAAAAAGCCTGATAGTGGCATTTTTTTGGAATTGGACATGTGAAAGTCACTACTCCAAGCCCAAGAAAAGGAAAGGAACAAAGAGAATCAAGTAATAAAAGATGCAGTTTGTCTAATGTGCAGTCCCAGTAACCAAAGCATGTTCTTTTAAGAATACTCAGGACCAAGGTATGATGGACTGTGAACTACAGGAATTTAATTCTTCAAAGTTTTCTTGATTTAATTACATTTGGAAAGTTTCTTGTGCCTACTATGCAAAATATAGGAAATTAAAATACTGACATTAAGAACATGGGATTAAAGGAAACTTTGTATGTTTAACGGAAGATGTTGATGTGAAAATCCAGTATGCCATTTTTCAATCCTGAAATAACCTTACAGTCTTTTCCTGTTGCAAGAACTGACTTCAAACTCTTACTTGCATGCTGTTGGTTCTGGGTCATCTGAAATCTATCAGCCTTAAATAACCTATTTGCTTTGGCAACTTTGTACTTTCCAAGTCTCTTTGCAGAGTAACAAAGTGACAAAACAGCCCGGCTTACCTGTGAAGCATATGCAAGGAGATTACAAGCTGAGGTTCACTAGTCGTCTGAGAACGGATGAGCTTGCTCTTGGTTTGGGCAGAAACGATAGTGCCATCCGACAAGGAAAACCGATAAACAGGACTAAACGCCAGTCCCTGCCTCAGCACTGCAAGCAAGCAAAACAACAGCACTGCAGCAATGAGAAACTAGCACAGGTAGCTTAACTGCTCAACATCTGATGTTCTAAATCCATCAGCGCTGATACCACAGATACTGTGTTAATTAAACAAAAACAACAAAAAATTGAAAACAAATAGATGGGATACACACGAAATAAAGGATCCCACATATTGTAGGGTGATCAAAATAAAATCTATATGGAATGACAGCAGTAACAGGAGAGACACTATGAAATACAGTGCATTTCAGGAGTAGACAAGAAGTTCTTGATGCCCATTTCACTCTTCATCAAATATGTGTCTAATTCCTTTTGTTCCTCATAGTTTTTCATCTCTATCATCTATATCATGATGATTAATATAAATGCCTTTAGTATTTAGATCATCTATTTCCATTAGCCTGTATCTTTTCCTCCTTCTTGCCTGCTTAAATTATCATGTAACAGTTACTCTTACTACTTCTTCAATTTTAAAACTGCATAAATCTCTTTCATGGGAACAATTAGAAATAAGAAAAAAACGGAAGAAGAAATTACTACTTTTTAAAGAGCAGTTACAAAAGGTATACAGTTCAAACACATTACCTAAACCAAAACTGGGGCTGTGTTACCCTTCCCCAGTGTTGTCTGCATTTCAGGTTTGGAGTTTACTTCACCATACATATTCTGCAGCCCTTTAAGTTTTCAGTGTAAATCTGAACTTCAACAAATTCAGTCCTCTAGCCTCCATAGACCCCAATGACTTTTCTTTAATTAAAAATTAAAATCATGCTATGGAAAAGCAAATCACCAAACATTTATTCTACTGTTCACTCCTTGCCATCAATGAAACAAGTGTGGTCAGTTTCAATTTCTAGTCCAAAAGTATTAGGATTTCAGATATGGGAGGAAGGAAATACTTCCAAATTTTTCATATAATGGTTTAGGGGAAAATAGGAATGAAGCACTACAAATACCTTTAATTTCCTATTTTTTTCATATATATATACACTTTCTGTGGTTTTATTTGGGTTTTGTTTGTGTGGGTTTTTTATTTGTTTTAATTAAGAGTATCATCTAAACTTCGTTTCATTGCTTGTCTTTTAATATTTCCTGTTGTAATGAAATGACATGGTTTTCTGAGTGTGGCCTTATTAAATATTCTCCTCTACAGAGCTACCACATTTTCAGCCTTGAAGACTGGCTATGATTGCTTTCCTTCCCTGTCGCCCCACTGTTATATATTGTTCTGCAAGGTTTCAAAGTATTATTTAGGCAGTGAGAAAACAGGAAGCACAATTTAAACAACCAGAAGTTTTTTTTCAGAGTAAAAATGTAAAGAAAAACAAAAACCTACAACTGTGGAACAATACAAAGCAAAATTTCACTGTTAGGTATGTCATTGTTTCAGTTTAACCTTTGGGCACCAGAAGGTCCAAAGCTCTTAAGTTTAGCATATACCACATCAGGAAATTCCAGTACTCAGTGCCAACAGGATACAAGTGAAATCTCTACTTAAATCATTTTCCAAACTAGTTCTTTAAGCAAACAAGAATGTTTCCGTATTCCTCTTAAGGAAATGCTATTTTTCTGACTGTGGCCAATAAAAACTTAACATATATTCTGCATTTTATACCTAGAGTTAATTTCAAAGCATGTTTTTTATTGTTTATCCAGATAGTGCTTCACTCTTTTCACACTCTAACACAGGATTACACGTAGGAGACCATTACTTTCTTTGCTTCTATTCTCAAACCATAAATAATGCAAGGGGTTCATCAGTCAAGCTCAGGCACTATGGCCCAAGATATGCCTTGTTTTTCTTCTCCATACTGTGGGGCAGGGGAGAGAAACATTTCAACCATTATTCCTCTCTAGTGCTGGATTGTTTGCAGAAAAGCAGTTCCAGAGGTTTATCCTCCTCTTATTATCATTGACTCTATTCACTTACTTAAGAAGAGCCCTCTCATTTAGACTAATTCTACAGTTTACAATATGATCCTAAGTCTCTTCTGCAAAATGATACAGTGTAAACTCCAAAGCACATACATTTTTATCACTTACAGATAGCTTAGAGAAGACTCATTCAAACCTTGGCAATGATTGTAGGAACTGCTACTTTGGTCAGGAATAGCATGAAGAAGACTGAAATATAAAGTGGAGGGATGCCACAACAGACACTTGTAAATCACCTTCATTGCAGATGGGTCCTTACCTGAAATTGCACTCTAAACCCCTGCTGTAACTTTAATTGCAAGCTACCTTCTTCAGTTCTGCCTGAAATCACAGCATAAGGCTGTGAACTTTTAACACTTCTACTGTACATACCCCTAAAGCTGTTATCTAAAATAGCACAGCATTTCTGTGTCCCCACATTCCTCAAATGCCACCTGAAGGTTTCATGAAAGCAGAACATATTAAAGAATATTTAACTAATGCCTCATGACTAAAGCACTATTTTGTGTGTGTGTTTGGTGGAATAATTTGATATTCCAGTTACAGTTTAGTTTCCAAGATGGCATGCCTGTTGCTTAATGACCATGGTAACTATTTGTTACAGGCCAGCTGTAAACACTGTTCCAAAAACATGAACCCTAAGAATGATGCTCCTGCACTGGAAATGTTCCAGTTATTCTCCACTGGTTTTGATTACTTTCCCATGGTAGGGTTATTTGGTTTTAGTAATTTGGATCTCTGTTACTAGAACTAGCATTATCAGTGTTTTATGAAAAATCCCCCCCACTACCATGGAAACTTTGTGAGGAACCTTCCACAGTTCTCCTTACCTACCATAACTGTGACTGAGTAGATGTGCTTGCGGTATATCCTGTAACATTTATCAGTCAGATATAGTGCAACAATGTAAGTTTCCAAATAATATGAGCTTTGGTAATTCATACTGAGTGTTTCTCACAGGAAATGTGACAGTAAAAGTTCATTTTTGTAGAGAAAAGGAATACAGGTCAATGAACTGCAACATGTGAGTTGAAGTTCTGAAGAATAACCAGCAGTGAACATTTTGGTGGGCAACATACAAGGGTCTTACTTTCTAAAACAACTTTGACAATTTGAAGATTTAAAGCACCCTCCAAGATGGCACAGCTATAACAAGCAGGCTAAAACAAACTGGGAGAAGGGTGCAAGACCTCTCTAGAGAGCCATCAGTGTGCTAGGCAAATCACCTTGAGAAAGAGACTGTTAGTAGCCCTTGATTGTTCCATGTAAACATAACAACACAACCAAGAGATACAAATGACAAACACTTTAAATATAGAATGTGCTAAAAATATGGAACCTAACCTTCCTGGTGATGCCTCTTGGCAAAAGATATTTCTCCCTCGTGCTGCGAATGGAACCTCTGAATGCATCTTCTCACCAAATCCTCCCAGCCAGGTTTCATAGCTGCTCGCATGGTACTTGTGTCCAGTGAAGTTATTTTGCCTGATATTAGATACATTAGAGAACATTTGTTACAGCAATTTCCCCATTTAGGAAAAGAAAATAGAATTAAAACTCCTATTCCTATTTCACAATACCTTGAAGATCCTGGCGAGTAGTAAAGCTCTCTGATGAATGAAGAAGTGGTCTTTCCTTCATTGGAGCTCTTCTTGCAACACAAATCAAGCAAGACTGCAAATCTTAAAGAAAAATATTACTTCATTTAATTTTTGTAGAAGAGGAAGGCTTTTTTTTTCCCAAAGACTTCATAAATACTAAAAAAAATTTCTTTAAATATTTTCAGACCAAAAATTGGGTTTTGTGCCAATAAAGGGACAGATGAAACTCATATATATTTTCACTATTTCCTACAACATTAAACAAAACAGGAGACATGGATTCTCTTTTAGAAGAAAAATTATCAAGGATTCCACCACAACCTGTAAGTATTGGCACATGTTTATGCATATCTCTGTAGCAGTTCAGCTACACAGGAGGCAAGTAATAACAAAGCATACACTGCATGCACAAAGAGCTCATTTCTTCAACACTCACCATTTTGTGCCTTCTAAGCCACATTTCTTAACCATGCCCCAAATGCTTGCTGACCCTCAGAAAACAGCTTCATAATAAACCATTTTTACTTATCTGAATACTTAGAAAACAATTTGAGGAAATTTACCTGCTGAAGTAGTAAATGGCAAAGGAAATGGTGAACCACAATTGTCTTCAAATTCTAAGAATTCAAAAAATTGCCCTTTGAAACTTTCTTCCCAGTCAGCCACATTCCTCTTACAACTGCAGTGATAAGTAAAACTCAGATATCTCCTTAAGGCAAATGGAGATTCTCTCAATATCAACTATACTGGTTTAACACAGTGGTGCATGCAAGTGCACTCAGAGCCAAGATGAAAATACATTTCTAGAGTTGAATGAAAATGGAAATAAACTTACAAGTTTTCTATTTTTCAGGACTTAGAAGTCACTTTATCAGCATCATATCACTTTATCAACCACACCAAAACTGTACTAACACAAATTGAAAGTGGCAGTTACCTTCCCCATCCTCCTTGAAGGAATTTGGTTGAGAAACAGCAAAGCACTGCATAGTTTCATATTTCTGATGTGCTTCCTGGTTATCATGGCCTTCTTCAGAATCAGCAAGAGGTTTTACCAGCATCCGACAATTAAAGGTATGGCTATTACGCCTAGGAGTGTCACCAGACCAAGATCCCCCATTCACTGAGCAAAAGCAAAGATCATATAGTGAGATAAATCTGGTAACAGGCATCTCTGCTGCTTATCCACAGGAAATTAAACAAGGTGCTTTGCAAACTGGTCGGGAAACAAGCTCATTTAAAAACAACAATCTATTTTTAATATTAAAGCCCAAACCAGCACATAACAAGGTAATTTATAGAATAATCAGACTTTAAGAGCACTGCTAATTTGCTCAGCTATTATGGTTTTTTCAAGCGGCTTATAACAACATAGTAGAAAAGCTGGATGAAAGTCTAAACACTGGTGCTTGTAAAAGTTACACAGTAGAGCAAAAAGCCTACTGGGTAGATTAAGTTAATTTATGACCCTGGAAGAAATAAGGCAGTATGTAGGATCTTTACAGTGAACTTAAAAGGTACTAAGACAAAAGTGATGGCTGCATTGTATAAAACTCTGTGTCCAGATTAGAAAGAGAAAGAAACTAATACGCATTTATAAAAACAGGAAGCAAAACAATAGTGAATATATTGAAACACAGTCTCGACTACAATGGGAAAGACCGGAGGGATGAGAATGACCTGGGTAGAGTGATGGATAAAACTAAAGCCTAACACACTGCTTAAGAGAAGTAAAAAAAGAAACAAAATCCTGAGATGCACAAATATAGGTACTGGACATCAGTCAGAGCAAATTAATGTAACACCACATACAGAAATAGCAGGGTCATATATAAAATACTCTTCACTTGCTCTCTTCAGTCATAAAATGCAATAAAGGCAGTAATATATTGGAGTTAGCCATTTACACTTTTGTTTCTTCAGGGTATATAAGTACAGTAATAAAATGCTAAAGTGAATTGCATAATACTTATCAAACTGCTGTGGGTAAATGAGGTGCCCAGTATGGACTTTCTTTTCACCTCCTCTGAAACCCAATGATATCAAAACTAATAATAATATGAACCAAAAAAAAACCGGCTGCAACTAACAAAAACAGTTTTTGAAAGGTAAGAGTAAATACCAGGGAGAATAAAACCATTGAAATACAAATTCTAGCATAAGGAAGTTCCTGATTTTTCTTTTATACTCCCCCTTTCCTGGGCCATTCTTGGAATAACCAGTCTAGACAGAGAACTAACAGAGAGTTCACATAGCTAATGCTGTCTTTTAGTGATTCACTCTGGGGATCCATTAAAAAATATCAGCTAACATGAGTTACTAAGAGCAATTTTAACAAAGAAGAATTTGAAAAATCATTCACAGTCTATATATGCATTAAAAATAAATAGTGTATATGATGAAACTTAAGTAGTGGAAGGACATTAACTTAAGTTATTGAAATGCTGACGTACAAAACCAACGTATGATATGAGGAAAAGTTATATACCTAAAGATTTTGGCAGCAGGATTTTGACAAATTCATTGTGGTCCCCTACATGCAGGATGCTGTATATGCTTGTGTTCATCAGCTCTTCTTGGTTGTACCTTAGGTACTGTGTCACATTCTCAGAAACAAATACAACATTGCCTTCGGGGTTCACTACAAAGAAGAACCCATCCAGGGCCTAAAGGGGAAAAAAAAGAAAAGCAGAGAGAGAGAGAAAGAGAGAGAAACATAACACCAAACAATCAGATTAACAAGATACTCAGAAAATAAACTCCATTCAGAAGACATATCTGAATCTTTCTGCATCCATCCCAGTGCTTATCTTATTGCTCATAGTAGCAAAGGACACATTTCAGATTGAGGATCTAAGGTATATCAAGCTAGTGTAAAAGCACAGAAGGGTGCACACCTTGCAAAATAATGAAACCCACATATGGAAACAAACCAAGTCCCCCACCCCAAACAAACAAACCTAAGTAACGGAAGAGGTTGCTATTATCTGCCTGCCTATGAAGTAAGAAACCTGGACCGGAATGGTTCTGCTAAGCCCACAGCCTGTTCATGCCTCTATGCAGCACAGGAAGACTGATCCCAGGACAACACAACATATACCAGCACAAGGCAAAGAAAACACCAGCACAAAGAAAGAGAAAGTCTCTCTCCTCATCCCCAGGAGTGCATCTTGATAGAGGCAAGGCCCCACGCAGCCAGCGACATGAGGGATTAAACGCAGGGAAAGGCAGAGCGAGCTGAGAGCAGGCAGTGAGCAGCAAGCATGGGGGAGCTTTAGTCTCTACTCCCAAAAGTGCTTGCTTTTTTTTTTTTTCCTTCTAGTTAACACCAGTTTAATTCAGTCCACACATGATCCAGGGAACAGGAACCAGACTTTCACCTCTTCAACTTAGCTTCATGGTTTTCCAAAGGACTTAAAGTTTCTGTGAGGAAGTGTCTACATTAGTATTTTCTGCTGATTGGTTTCCCCCCTTATCTCTTGTGACAGTGACAACTTAGCTGCAACATTCTTTCCAAGATATCTGAACTATGTTATCTAAAGCCTAAGCCAAATACTACACCACTTCTACCTGATGAAGATAAAGTAAAAATTTGAGTATTGTTAAGAAATTCTCATGCAAACTTTATTTTTCGTAAGATGCATACATGATTGTGGATAGTAGAAATATGGCAGAATACATCCCTCTATCTTTATGTCATATGAGCAGATAAAGGGGGATACATTTAAACTTAAGACACCAAAGCTTTTGGATTAAGCATTCCATTAACAACCCACAGACTTCTGCAGCTTTGCCTGATCCATTCACCTCTCTAAGGACTGGCAGGAAATCACTACAAGAGTTGGTAGTTATTCTATCTCCAAGGACAGAAACAAGTTTAAAAAACCCCAGGCTTTCCATGATTTATTATGGGTCAAAACCAAGAGGATCCATACTAAACCTGAACACAGCTCACTGCAAAACAGTCTAACAGGGAGGAGCTGCCACAGTGTTACATACAGGCACATAGCATTTTTGATATGACCAAACTTACATACTGTACAACTCATGTGCTGGTCTTAGCAGGCAGTTCTCAAGTCCTCTGGTTAAAAATACCATACGCTACCAAGTAGTTAGCAAATCCAGACAGCAATAGAGAAGACTAAGGAAGGTTTTTACTTCTATCTTCAGTCACCTAGCAGAAGGCTAAAGAGAAGACAGGGCCAGGTTCTAGTCAGAAGTTCACAAGGGAAGGATGAGACACCAGACATGGGTTCCAGGACAGGAATCTTCATGGAGATACAAGAAAAAAAAATTCACCATGAAGGTGGTCAGACATGGGGAGAGTCTGCCCAGAGAGGCTGTGGAAATCTCCTTCCCCAGAGATATTCCAGCCTTGGGTGGACTCAGATCTGGGCTACCTGCTCTAGTTGGATCAGCTTGCAGTGGGAGGTAGGGCAACACAAACCCCAGAGGTCCTTCCCAAACTAAGTGAGATAATGATTCTGCTACATGGGAGGGATAATGAAAGCACAAAGCACAAGCAGAGTGGCTAAGCCAGTGGTTGACAAACGTTTCCTTTGTTCTATTTTTAAATTGCAACATAATAAAAACCACAAATAAATGTACAACTATATACTTTTCCTGACGGCCACTAAATTAGGATAAAATTGGTATTTTTTTTCTTCTGCTAATTGTCACAAATTCTAATCTCTGACTTTGACTTTTTTATCACTGCCTTCTTTTTGTTTCTGATAATTCTTGGCTCCTCCTGTTAATTTACTTTCTTTGGAGAGCTCCCTCCTTTCTATGTTCTATGTTC